GGCCTGGGCCTGCTAAACAACAATGACAACTGCAACAAAAAAATAGCCAGGTGTTGTGACAGCCGCCTGTTAGTCCCAGCTACTTGGGAGGCTGAGGCAAGAGAATCGCTTAAGCCCAGGAGTTTGAGGTTGCTGTGATGCCATGGCATTCTACTGAGGGTGACATAGTGAGACTCTGTCTCAAAATAAATAAAATAAAAAGTGAATCCAGAAATGCTGCTTAAAATTCCTAGTCTCTGTATTATCATTTAAAATCAGAAGATCTGGTAAATCTAGGCTGGGCGTAGTGCCCTCCTAGCACTCCAGGAGGTAAGGTGGGTAGATTGCTTGAGCTCAGGAGACCAACCTGAGCAAAAGCGAGACACTGTCTCTACTAAAAAGAGAAAAATTAGCTGGGTTTTCTGGCAGGCACCTGTAGTTTCAGCTACTAGGAGGCTAAAGCCCAAACTTTAGGAGTTTGAGGTTACTGTGAACTATAATGCCATTGTACTCAATCCCAGGAAAACAAAGTGAAGCTCTTGTCTCCAAAAATGAAAAAAGAAAAAAAAAAAAAATCAGAAGATCTGGCAAATTTGGCCAATACTACTTTGATATAGCACATGAATTTGTCCCCACCACTGCTGGGTCCAGCCCATCTCAGTCAAATCACCAACCCTCAGGTCTGAGAGCATTTGAGTTTGAAATCCCTCATTTAGGTTCTGTTTTTCGAAGGTCTCATACTCTGAGGGCTAAAGGGGAGAGAACACCTACTACATCACTCCCCATTCCCTCCTTTGAGCTGTGCTCCCATTGTCTTGTCTGCAGCACAACACCCTCAAAACAAGGCCGGGGCAAGCCCTCTTTCTCTCGGGGCACATTCCCAGAGGACAGCAGTGAGGATACTTCAGGCACTGAGAATGAGGCCTACTCCGTGGGCACTGGCCGCGGCGTGGGCCACAGCAGTAAGTATCCTCGCCCAAGGCCAGGGATGCTGGGAACCCACTGTCAAGGCCTTGCCAGCCCCCCAGCTGCTGATCCACCTCCTCTTTCCCATTCCTGTGAAGTGGTAAGGAAGAGTCTGGGCCGGGGAGCTGGTTGGCTATCAGAGGATGAGGACTCCCCTCTGGATGCTCTGGACCTTGTGTGGGCCAAATGCCGAGGGTATCCATCATACCCAGCTCTGGTAGGTTTCCACTTCTCGTCATACCCTTTGCTTTCCAGCCCCAAACACAGACTTACAATTAGTAGATTTCTCCTATTCCCTGCTGAGCTAGCTGTGGGACACAAAGTTCCTTGGCAAATAAACTGGTGGGCAAATACAGCTTGAGTACTGCTTAAAGGCTCCCACCCTGTTTCTCTATCCCTCCATTTCCTTTATTGTTGCCCTTGGGGCTCTGAAGTAATTCATCATGAGAAGAAGCAAAGGGTCAGCACTGTAGTCCTAGTGGCATGATAACCTTTCTCTGTTCCTACTTCAGATGTCATCTCCAAATTTTTGGGTGGGGTAAGACTTAGAGAGGACATGGACCAAACCAAACTCTGCTCTTATTACACCCTCAGATCATTGATCCAAAGATGCCCCGAGAAGGTATGTTCCACCATGGGGTACCCATTCCTGTGCCCCCATTGGAAGTGTTGAAACTTGGGGAGCAGATGACCCAGGAAGCCCGAGAGCATCTCTACCTCGTTCTCTTCTTTGACAACAAACGAACCTGGTAAGGAAGGGAGGTAGCATTTGGTGACTCACAGCAACAGATACAGGCCTGTGTGGTATCAGGGCAGATTTCCAGGAAACTCCAGCAACAAAAAGGCTGAGCTATATCACAGGTCATTGGGGGAGGGACTGAGAATGGATCTTTGAGCAAAAGGGTTGTGTTGACCATGAGTCTGAGAGGCTGAGTGGGTAGTAGCTGACAAACAGCAGTAGCTGGAAACCAAAGGACCATCAGTGACTGTGACAAATATGGGGGTGGCTCCCCACCCAGATCAGATGGCTTTTAGACTTAGTTTTCCCATCTCTGCCTCCACAATGAAAAGATGAGGGTAAAGCAGAAATGAACATTTAGGCTCTGAATCCTTGTTCTGTCACATTTACATATGTCATCTTTTTGCTAATTGTCTGCAGAGGATATTTAATTCCGTGAAGTCTACCTGGAGCCTGTGGAACAGGGTAGCTACTTGTTGTTAGGGCTCTTCCTTTCATAGCAATAAATACCCTATCATTACCTTACCCTCTCTCCCATCCCCTCATATGTTTGTTGATTGAGAGCTCTTTTGTCACTAGAGTATGAGCAGACACTTGAGAGCAGGAACTGTGTCTATTAGTCTCCATAACCTCAGTACCCACCACAGATTCTGGCCAGAGTAGGCACTCAGGAAGTGTGTTTGAGTGAATAGAGTCAGGAAGACTGGTGCTTGCTTGTTCTTCTTGAGATGATTCATTTGATCTTTACCTTGTCCTATAGGCAGTGGCTGCCCAGGACCAAGCTTGTTCCTCTGGGCGTGAACCAGGACCTAGACAAGGAGAAGATGCTGGAGGGCCGCAAGTCCAACATCCGCAAGTCAGTACAGATTGCCTACCACCGAGCTCTGCAGCACCGCAGCAAGGTGCAGGGCGAGCAGAGCAGTGAGACCAGCGATAGTGATTGATACTGCCCAATGTAGCCCAACCTACAGTGCCCTGTGACCACTCTCTTCCCCTTAGCTCACTGTCCTGGAGTGGCACCAGCCTCTGCACTGACTCATTTCTGGTCTTGGGGCCAGTCTCAGGGGAAGCTGGGTGGGGGAGGTCCCTCCTGCCCTGAGTGCAGCTGGACTGTACAGAACACTCCAAGGGCCCATGGCAGTTTAGTGCAAGGGAAGAGGAGGTCCCACAGGTCAGAAAGAGTTCCAGCGACCTCATGGCATTGTAGGGCAGAGTGGTGGCCCAAGGTTAGAACACTGCATAAAACAGGCCATCCCACCACTTCTCCCTGCTCATGCCAGGAGAATCCTTAACTGCCTAGAGGCCTGAGGCCCCTACAGGTGGTGAGGTGAGTGGGCATCTGCCCAGCCTAGCAATGGAATTGAAGTCTGTCCAGCCCGGAAGAGGGGCACTAGGTGACCCCCCTCCCCTGCTGTTGTAAATACTGTAATTATCGGAGAATTTAAATTATTCTCATTTGTAACTGCGTTTCCGGGTCGCGCCAGAGTCATTTGGTACTAAAAACAACTGGGGCCTGTCCCCATTTCCCTTCTCTTCCCCATAGATTCCCCTCACCTTTCAAACTGGTTTGTATTTATTTCAAAGGAAGAAAATATATTGATTCTTAGAAAATAAACTTGTCTATTTAGAATTCTTTTTTCTTGCCTTTTGCAAGGGCAGAAGGGATGTTCTGTGTCCCAGGGATAGTACTTAATTGGGCCCAGCTGGTTGCTGATTGCTGCTACATTGACAAGACAATAACAGAAATAGTATGAGAACCCCCATTTCCCACGCACTGACTGCACACAGGGCCTGTACTAAGCACCTTCAGATAACAGTTTCATGTAATTCTTGTAATAGTACCTATGGGGTACTTTAATCATAGGCTTGTTAATTTCCACAAAGATGCTATGGTTTAGAAAAATTTACTTGCCTAAAGTTACTACAACTAGAAAGTCGCAGAGGTAGGACTTGAACTTTGGTCTTTTGTCAGCAAAGTTGGCTCTGAAACCAGAATGTGGAACTGCCAGAGAGTCAACTGCTGAGTCCTTCATGGACTTCAGAGGCTTCAAATCCTTTGCCAGTACTGTGGCTCAAGTGCTCCAGAATCACTACAGCTGAGAACTTCCCCCTGCTTAAATAGGGACAGAGCAGGGGTGTGTTGCTCTTCATTTATCCCCAACATAGGCACCTTTTTTTCCAAATCAGCCAACATTTATTGAAGGAATCCCTTCCAAGTGCTAGGCGCCTAGGGGGTGCCATGCCTGTCTATAAGACAATCAGGGCAAAAAATGTCCGCCCGAGGCCTTGTTGCTACTGAGTGGAACGGAGACAAAGACTACATGCTCGCGTGCACCCACCCTCTCTCCTAGGTACCGTGAATGGGACACAAAGATCAATCAGCGGCAGATCTTGCCCTTCAAGAACGTGTAGTCTGGTCATTCAGACACAACCAGAAATCACTATGCTAGAAGGTGAAAAACGGCCCAGCTCCTTGTTTTTTTCATGTCTTCAGAAAGGAAGAAATTACATAATCTTTCCTGGGTCCAGGCTGCTGGCGCTGACAACTGGACCGGGCGGTCAGGCTACCCCAAGGCCACACGTCTGTACCTGGACTCAACCTAAGGAACTGTCTATCTAGACTTCTGGGCCCAGTCCCAGAGACAGGCCCCATTGCGCGCTAGGGTGTAAACAGATGGAGCATTGTTGAAGGAGTGACGGGGAATGAAAGGAGCAGCTGTGGCAATCCCGAGGAACAGGCCAGTGAAGTCTGTGCGGACGCCTAACGGCGGAGTAGGGGCCGGATGAGAAGGCCTGGGAGGGGACAAGCTTAGGCGGGCGAGCACTGAAGAGAATCCTCTGGAGACACGTTGTAGGCACATCTCCCGGGTGCTGAGGGGTCGGAGCTGTGTCCGGTCCGATTCCTGGTGAAGGAGGGCGCGTTATCTGAGGCTTTCTGCGAACGGCTAGGGAAGGGAGTGGTTCTGAGGACGGACAGCCCTGAGGAGTCGAAAGGTTCTCAGGAGATCAGCCAGGACTAGAGTCTAAGGGCGCACCCTGCGCAGGGTCCGCGGGGCGCTGTGATGGGACGCTGCAGCGAGCGGAGTGTTCCGGGTTGAGGAAAGGCCAATAGCCGGCAGGGAGCCCAGCGCCCGCGAACCGCTGGGGCGCGGTGGAAAGGGCAAGCTAACCGCTGCCGCGCGGGTTTCCCATTGGCACCTCCCACTTCTTCCTCGGATTGGCTCCTTCTGGGTCAAAGAAACGGAGCTTGAGCCCTATTTCCGGTGGCGGCGAGGTCGGCCCCCGGAGAAACCGGAAGGACACGCTGGCGCGCGCTTCCAGAAAAACAGCTGTGGAAACAGATGTGAGCGCCCGGGGCGGGGAAGGATATTCAGGAAAGCTGGAGGATTGGAGCTGGAAGTGGGGACAGAGTGGGAGGAGAGGGACTTTGATGAATCGCAAAGGGAGGAGCCTGCAGGGAGTGGAAGAATAAATGAAAATAGGGCGGAGCCTTAAACGGAGACCGAGAAGCCGGGACCTGGCGGGCGAGGCTTTAGGAGGCGTGGTCTTTGTTTGGGCGGGGTCTTTGGCCTCCAATTTAAGGTGGCTCTGCGTGGGCAGGGCCATTGTGGGGCGGAGCTTGGCGTGGAAGTGTTAGCCTGGTAGCATGGGGCATCGTACTCTAGCCTCCACCCCGGCCCTATGGGCCTCCATTCCATGTCCACTCTCTGAGCTGCGCCTGGACCTGGTTCTGGCTTCTGGACAGTCCTTCCGGTGAGTGACTGAGGTCCCTCCTCTGGGATCCTGGCTCCTGACTCTTCAGCCCTGCAGGCAGAGAATTTAGGGGGTGATAGAAGAAACTCCAGGTTATAAAAAAGGAAACAGAGGCGGATGGCCGGCCCGTTATCTCCTTAATACAGTAGAGATAATATGTGCAGTGTTATTGTGAAGATCAAGCGGTATTACCCATGTAAAAGATAGCTCTTCCTCGGACTGTTGTCACCCTTGGATAGTTATCCTAAAAGATAATTATCTCAAAACAATTATGTAGGGTGGTGCCTGTGGCTCAAGGAGTAGAGCTCCAGCCCCATATGTCGGAGGTTGCGGGTTCAAACCCAGCCCCGGCCAAAAACTGAAAAAAAAAAAAAAAACAATTATGTAATTGTCCCTTATTCCGCCTTTAAAAACCCTTGTCTTGGCTTGGCGCCTGTGGCTCAAGCGGCTAAGGCGCCAGCCACATACACCTAAGGTGGCGGGTTCAAATCCCCAGCCCGGGCCCGCCAAACAACAATGATGGCTGCAACTAAAAAAAAATGGCCAGGAGTTGTGGTGGGGACCTGTAGTCCCAGCTACTTGGGAGGCTGAGGCAGGAGACTCGCTTGAGCCCAGTAGTTGGAGGTTGCTATGAGCTGTGATGCCATGGCACTCTACCCAGGGGGGATAGCTTCAGGCTCCGTCTCAAATTAAAAAAAAAACCCTTGTCTTGGCTCAGCGCCTGTGGCTCAAGTGGCTAAGGCGCCAGCCACATACACCTAGGGTGGCAGGTTAGAATCCAGCCCTGGCCCGCCACCAAACAACAATGATGGCTGCAACCAAAAGATAGCCAGGCGTTGTGGCAGGTGCCTGTGGTCCCAGCTACTTGGGAGGTAGAGGCAGGAGACTTGCTTGAGCCTGGGAGTTGGAGGTTGCTGTGAGCTGTGATGTCACAGCACTCTACCCAGGGGGATAGCTTGAGGCTCTGTCTCAAAAAATAAAAAAAAACCCTTGTCTTGGGCGGCGCCTGTGGCTCAGTGGGCAGGGTGCCGGCCCCATATACAGAGGGTGGTGGGTTCGAACATGGCCCCGGCCAAACTGCAACAAAAAAATAATGGGGTGTTCTGGTGGGCGCCTGTAATCCCAGCTACTTGGAAGGCTGAGGCAAGAGAATCACCTAAGCCCAGGAGTTGGAGGTTGCTGTGAGCTGTGATGCTACAGCACTCTACTGAGGGTGATAAAGTGAGACTCTGTCTCTTACAAAAATAAATAAATAAATAAATAAAATAAAAATAAAGCCCCTTGTCTTCCTTTATCTCCCTGTGCACATAGTTTACAATGGCGTGTGTATTCCCATTGCAATGCCCATTCCCAAATAAATGTCATTTTCTTTAAAAAATAAATAATAAAAATAGCTCTTTTACTTTGCAATTAAATCAGTTTTGTAAATGGAGTAATAGGATGAAAAGGACCACAAGGGGTGCAGGAAGAGAAACTGAGTGTACTAGCGCTGTTGTGTACCTTGGAGCTTAGGTGGAGGGAGCAAAGCCCTGCACACTGGAGTGGTGTACTGGCGGACCAAGTTTGGACACTGACTCAAACTGAGGAGCAGCTCTACTGCACTGTGTACCGAGGGGACAAGGGCTGGGTTGGCAGGCCCACACTAGAGGAGCTGGAGGCTGTGCACGAGTACTTCCAGCTAGATGTCAGCCTGGCTCAACTGTATCGCCATTGGGGTTCCGTGGACTCCCATTTCAAAGAGGTGGCTCGGAAATACCAAGGTGAGCAGGTGGTTCTGGGACATTGGTTAAGTTACTTCTCTGGACTCAGTTTTACTGTCTGAAATATTAGGACTACATCTACTTAATAGAAAGGAGCTAACATATGTAAAGTGCTTAGAATAGTGCCTGGCACCTAGTAATTATTTTTTTTGTTTGTTTTTAGAGATAAGTTCTCACTCTGTCATCCAGACTGGAGTGCAGTGGCATGATCATACCTCACTATAATCTCAAACTCCTGGGTTCAAACAATCTTCCTGCCTCAGCCTCCCAAGTAGCTATTACTACAGCCATGCACCACCATGCCGGGCTAATTTTTTATATTTTTTGTAGAGATAGGTGTCTTGCTATATTGCTCAGGCTGGTCTTTAACTCCTGGCCTCAAGTGATCCTGAGCCTCCCAAAGTGCTAGGATTACAGACATGAGCCACCTTGCACGGCTTGTTATTACTATTACTATCCTACTGATCGCCATAGTGAAGTGACAAGGATACTGAGACCATTCCTGGCTGTGTCACCTGGGGCAAGTGACTTCATTAATTTTGCACATATATACAGAACATCTGCTGTGTGACTGCTGCGGATATAGCAACAAACAAAATGGACACAAACTGACCTCACGGTGCTTACATTGTGGCCTTTTTAGCTATAGAATGAGATAGTAACTCAGATCTTACAACATGCTATGAGGCGTGAAAGGAGGTCTGGTGTTACTTTCTCTAACAATGCTATCCCTTATTCTCCTGGGATCCCCTTGGAGCCTTGCTCCCTAGAATCTGATCAGAGGATGAGAGGATGCCACTCCTGACAGCAAATGTTTCTCCGTCTCCCAACCTTTCTGGTCCCAGGTGTGCGACTGTTGCGACAGGACCCCATCGAATGCCTTTTCTCTTTCATCTGTTCCTCCAACAACAACATCACCCGCATCACTGGCATGGTGGAGCGGCTGTGCCAGGCCTTTGGACCTCGGCTCATACAGCTGGATGATGTTACCTACTATGGCTTCCCCAGCCTGCAGGCCCTGGCTGGTGAGTAGGTGGGTCCCCTACCCCAAGGCCTTCCATCACCTGTTAGGATCTGTTTAGTTTTTGGTCCCTATCTCAAGGCTTCCTACCTTCCCAAATTGCCTCCATCCAGAGCCACCCTGCCTGGTCTGATCAGCCCCGGTTACACCTCATCTTCCCTATTTGTCCCTGAAATGTTAGCACCTTACTAGTCTGTGCTTTTTGCCCAATGCCTCATCAGAAAAAATGTACACTGTATATATGCAGCGTACGTTTGGGGTCAGAGCATGCCTTCTGGAGACTGCGTCAGTCTGAATCCCAACTCTATCATTTGGGCACATTTAAAATCTGCGGCCTCGGCTCGGCACCTGTGGCTCAAGCAGCTAAGGCGCCAGCCACATACACCTAAGGTGGCGGGTTCAAATCCCCAGCCTGGGCCCGCCAAACAACAATTACGGCTGCAACCAAAAAATGGCCAGGCGTTGTGGCAGGCGCCTGTAGTCCCAGCTACTTGGGAGGCTGAGGCAGGAGACTCGCTTGAGCCCAGGAGTTGGAGGTTGCTGTGAGCGTGATGCCATGGCACTCTACCCAGGGGGATAGCTTGAGGCTCCGTCTCAAAAAAAAAAAAAAAAAAGAGTAAAATCTGGGGCCTTCAGTGGCTTTATCTGTGAAGTGGGATAATAATAGAGCCTACCTATCAGCATAGTCATGAGAATTGAATAAAGGAATACACACTCAAGTACGTGTAAATTCAAGCTGCTATCACTGTAGTGAACCAATTTTGTATCTAAGAACACATGCTCTTCACAGCAGCCCTGTGAGGCAAGTATTTTGCAGAGGCAAGTATTGTACAGAGGCTGATGTGAGAACCAAGCTATAGGAAGAGCTTGGGAACTACATTGCAAGGAGATAGCCTGTCTCAAGAAAACAGAATGTTTTTAGTGCTTAGAAACCTGATCTTGAGACCTAGTTGCTGGCTTAATTATCGTAGACCTCAAGAAATTCATTCACAGGGGTGCCTGTGGTTCAGTGAGTAGGGCGCTGGCACCATATACCAAGGGTGGCAGGTTTGAACCCAGCCCCAGCCAAACTGCAACAAAAAATAGCCGGGCGTTGTGGCTGGCGCTGTAGTCCCAGGTACTCGGGAGGCTGAGGCAAGAGAATCACCTAAGCCCAAGAGCTGGAGGTTGCTGCGACAAAATGAGACTCTGTTTCTAAAAAAAAAGAAAAGAAAGAAATTCATTCACCTCTCCAGGCTTAATTTCTTTGTAGAATAACAGTTCCTATATAGAGGGGTTTGGGAGATGAATAAAGTGGTCACAGGCAGTGTGCTATAAGCCAAGGGGTTAAGAGCACAAGTCATTAGTTCCCCAGAACTCGGTGCAAGATCCCATCTCCAGCTAGGCACTATGGCTTACAGTATCACTTTGGGTGACTGAGGCAGGTGGATTGCTTGAGCTGAGGAGTTCAAGACCAGCCTGAGCAAGAGTGAGACCCTGTCTCTACTAAAAAACATAGAAGAACTAGCTGGGAGTTGTGGCAGATACCTGTAATCCCAGGTATTTGGGATACTGAGGCAAGAGGATTGCTTGAGCCCAAGAGTTTGAGGTTGCTGTTAGCTATGATGCCAAGGTACTCTACCCAAGGTGAGAGAGTGAGACTTTGTCTTTAAAAAAAAAAAAAAAAA